TATATAATAACAAAATGTTCAAGATTAGACATTATAGTTGTTTTAATAAAAGTTAAATTTTTCGCACTTGCAATATTAGAACCATAGATATAGACCGTTTAACCGCTAGAAGGTCAAACATTCAAATTTTGTTAACGGATAGAACTACACGCACTTTTGTATTTATTTTAATTTATTATAAAACTTGAGGCACGGACAAGCATTTCATTTCAACCAAGAGCTTCTCACCTTCAAGCGCAAACATACGTGTTTTGGACCTTCGTTGCCGAATAATAATACGAAAAGTACGAGTCAGCGACCATTGGACTCATCGTATGCCAATTCATCGCACAAGTTTTGGACTACGAGAAGTGAGAAGACATCTAGTAAGGATCGAGGTTAAGGCGTCGGAGGAGCAGCAGCAGACAGCAATCGTCCATAAGCGCATTCCGGAACGGTCTGCCATCCTCCCTAACCCCATCTCCTTCGCTTCAATTGTGTCACACCGTGCCTTTAGTCACGTTACAGTTCTTGTGTTTAGCAATAAGAAGCAGCTTTGTGTCGCAGCTAGCACAGGCTGATCTTACAGACCAAGAATCAAACGTAAGTACCTTCATAATTTGCCAAAATGAGTATAAATGAGGCTAGTGTTAAAATAAATCGTGAAAGATCCCCTAATAGGCTAGTCGCTAATAATGAAAACGATAATGAATTGCTAAAGGATCTAGTCAAGACGCGTGGCATATTAAAAAGCAGGCTTACTAAATTTTCTAATGCCGTTAGTGATATTACCCTCGAACAATTAACTAATCAAAAATGCGCCGATGTAAAATTACGCATGCAAGGTGTTACGAGCTTATTTACAGAGTTTAGCGATGTTCAAACAAAAATCGAAAAAATTGTACGAGATTCAGATTTAGATTCGCAGCTGACGCAACGAGAATTGTTTGAAGATTGCTATTATCATGCACTAGCTCAAGCTGAATGTTTGCTCAAATCGGTAGAGGTCACTAGCGCGTCCAGTAAGGGCAGTAAAAGGACGTCACAGTCTATAAAACTTCCGACCATCTCCCTACCTGTATATGATGGAACGTATGAGCATTGGATCGAATACAGAGACATTTTTCTATCTCTAGTACACAATTCCGATGAAATTAGTGATATTCAGAAATTCCACTACCTAAAATCGTCACTAAAGGGAAGCGCGGAGTTAGTTATCGATTCCTTAGAATTCTCTGCTAGTAACTATGTGGTAGCATGGGAACTACTTCTCAATAGATACAACAATAGCAGTCTGTTGGTGCATAACCACGTTAAGGCCTTATTCACTATTCAAAACTTTCTAAGGAATCACCACATGCACTCAGAAAACTGACAGATTTTATTCTTAGAAATTTACGCGCATTAAAAATATTAGGTGAGCCTACTGAGTACTGGGATACGTTAATTATATTTATTATAACGTCTAAGTTAGATGAAACCACCGAACGTGAATGGGAACAATTTAAATGCACCACACGAAAATATATTAATGATATTTCTTCACTGAAGGTAGATGATTTACTCATGTTCCTCAGAGACAAGGCTGACATGTTGGAAACATTGCTAGTTTCACACAGAGTTAACAGTGACGTTAAAACTCAAAACGCGACTTTACAACAATCGTCACATTATCCGTCACATAAAACATCACATCATAAAGTGCACTGCAATATTTCCACCAATAAGTCACAGCAAGGTCGAATCACGTCTACTAAAAAATCGTGTTTAATGTGTAACGCCGATCATCCACTTTATTCATGTCAAACATTTTTGGACACTAACTTAGACGCTAAACTGCAATTTATAACCGCAAATAAATTATGTGAGAACTGTTTACGTCCAGGGCATTCAGTTAGTATGTGCAAATTTGGACCTTGCAGACTGTGTTTTAAAAAACACAACACGCTTATTCATAATAACGTGACTGATCGAGTAGCGGTCGTATCAATGCATCTAGCCGACAACGAAACCCCGGGTTCTAGTCAAATCGCACCGCCCGCGCAGTCCATCCCCGCGCAAATTCATTCGTCTCGAGTAAACAGTACACACATAGATAATTTTAATTTAATTCACAAACAATCTACTATGCGACCCGTTTTATTGTCTACAGCTATAGTCGAGATAGCCGATAGGTACAATAAGTTTCACTTAGCACGCGCGCTTCTCGACTGTGGTAGTCAACATTGTTTTATTTCTAAACCACTATGCGATTTAATTAATATAAATTTAATACAGTCCACTTGCGAAATTCGAGGTGTCGGCAACACAGTAACAACGTCATCACAGATATGTGATATCGAGATCAAATCACGCATTGACAATTACTCCGCACGCATTAAATGTTTTGTGTTGCCGCACATTACATCTACGCTACCTACTGCGATGTATAGTCAACGCGCGCAGTCTTTTATGATACCTGACTATATACAGCTGGCTGATCCACAATATTATGAATCTCAAAATATTGATATTTTAATAGGCGCAGACTTATTTTGGGACTTATTATGCGAAGGTAAAATGAGATTACCCAATGGACCCTTTTTACAAAATACAAGGTTAGGTTGGATTATTTCAGGGCCTATTGAGTTTAACACGCACAATATCAATACGTCTGTCCAATGTAACTTCACTCAATCCATTGACACTCAGTTACGACGGTTTTGGGAGTTAGAAGAGGTGCCTAAAACTAGTGACATACAGACTGACGAAGAACGCTCTTGTGAGGAAGCTTTCATTCGTACTACCACGCGCAATAGTGACGGAAGGTTTTGCGTCAGCTTGCCACTGAAACAGTCGCCATCTGTTTTGGGTGAATCTTTGTCACAAGCTGAACGTCGTTTTTTGGCACTAGAGAGGCGATTAGAACGTAATTCTAACTATAAAAAATTATATATTGAATTTATACACGAATACATCGAATTAGGTCATATGACGCGAGTAACTTCATATGGAACCCCACACTATTTCTTACCTCATCACGGCGTGTATCGTGAGCACAGCAGCACAACAAAACTTCGCGTGGTGTTCGATGCAAGTGCCGCCACAAGTAGTGGAGTGTCTTTAAATGACATTCAACAAGTCGGACCTCCTTTGCAGCGTGATTTAGTTGACATCCTGCTTCGTTTCAGACAACATAGATACACTGCTTGTGCAGACGTCGAAAAGATGTACAGGCAGTGTCTCTTAAACGAATTACAACGCGATCTCCAGTTGATTGTGTGGCGTGACAATCCATCTGAACCGTTAGGTATTTACCGACTGAACACGGTAACGTATGGGACAGCCTCCGCACCGTTTCTTAGTGTTAGGTGTCTAAAGCAGCTGGCACTCGAATGTAAGGACTCAGCCGTCCAACAAATAATTTTAAATGATTTTTATGTAGATGATATGATTACAGGTTCAGATGACAAGGAGGAGTTGCTTGTACTCTGTAAGAAGGTCACTGATGTCTTAAGTTCTGGTGGATTTCACTTAAGAAAATGGATATTTAATTTTAAATGTGATGAATTGTTGGTTCATCAAATTCCAAATAATAACGCATCACAGGAATTAACATTAGGAGAAAATGTTCAGTGCAAGACATTAGGTCTTGGATGGTACTATGCATCAGACGAGTTTTATTTTAATACTCAAGTTAAAGTTGATACGTACAAGATTAGTAAACGAACCATTTTATCGCACGTTTCTCAAATATTTGATCCATTGGGATTATTAAGTCCGACCATTATAATAGCCAAAGTTTTATTGCAAAAACTATGGTTATTACAACTAGGATGGGATGATGAGGTACCGCGAGACGTGTTGCGCGCATGGACCGTATTTGTAAAGGGCTTATCAATGCTTAATACCATCCGCATACCCCGTCATGTTACAGCTAACGAAGCGATATGTACAGAGCTACACATCTTTACCGATGCATCGCAGACTGCATACGGCGCTTGCATCTACGTTCGAACAGTAACTAATAACGGACTTGTATCGGTAAAATTGTTATGTTCAAAGGGTAAGGTTGCACCTTTAAAACCTGTCAGTATCCCGCGACTAGAATTATGCGGAGCTTTACTTGGGGCTCGACTTTATGATAAAGTAATTAAATCACTTCGTCGTCATTTTGATAACATCATGTTCTGGACTGACTCGACCATAGTACTAGGATGGTTACACATGTCGCCTAATTTACAAAAAACTTTTGTACAAAATAGAACGGCAGAAATACATGAGTTGGTGAAGGAACTTCCATGGCGTCATGTCAGTGGGAAGGAAAAGCTGATCTGGTCTCGCGTGGTGTTCAGATGGAGGACCTTTCATCTTCTACTTTATGGTGGGAAGGCCCATTTTTTCTTCGTCACACTAACTTCAGTTGCAATAATGTACCGTTAAATTCATTTGACTCTCAGCAACTATTGCCTGAGCTGAAATCCAGTGTGACGCATTCCTACGCTACTGATCAAGACTGCGAACGTACATTATTTCCATTTGTTAGATTTTCTCAATATAGTCGCATGAGACGAACTGTCGCGTATATACAACGTTTTATTCATAATACGCGCAATAAAAATACTCAACGGTCAGGTACTCTCACTGTCGATGAATTGAGGGAATCTGATATAACTTTGGCTCGACTGTCTCAACTAGAATCGTTTCCAGATGAGTATAGGTTACTCACAAATAATAGTACTCTAGTTAATAAGCATAATTTGTCTAAATTAAATTTATTTATTGATAAAAATAAACTAATTCGTGTTGGTGGTCGGATTGTAAATTCTCCCGACTTTAATTTTGATAAAAAACATCCGATTTTAATTTCATCTAAACATATTTTCTCCCTACTACTATTCAGACACGAACACAAGCAGTTGTTGCACGCAGCTCCACAGGCGCTTCTTTATAACTTACGTGAAACGTGGTGGCCAATTGGCGGTAGAAACTTAGCAAGGAAGGTTGTTTATGATTGCATTATTTGTAAACGCTTGAGAGGTATGACCCCTACTCCCCTTATGGGAGATTTACCAAAGGAACGTTTAACTTCGGGCTTTCCTTTTATGCGTTCTGGGGTGGACTACGCCGGACCAATGCTCATACTTAATCGTAAGGGTAAAGGTGCTAGGACGACAAAATGCTATGTGTGCTTATTTATTTGTTTTGTAACGCGCGCTGTACATTTAGAACTCGTCAGTGACTTATCAACAGATGCATATTTATTAGCGTTAAAGAGATTTATATCTAGGCGTGGCAACCCATGTGAGATTTTTTCTGATAATGGTAGAAATTTTGTTGGATTGATGAATGACTTTAAACATTTTTTAGCTAATTGTTCGTCACAGATTATAGAATATGCCACGGCTCAGAATATTCAATTCACATTCATACCGCCTTATGCGCCTCATTTTGGCGGATTATGGGAAGCTGGAATTCGGTCCTGTAAGAATATTTTACGTCGTATAGTAGGAAACGCGCACTTAACCTACGAGGAGTTCAGTACAGTGTTGACACAAATTGAAGCGGTCCTGAACTCCCGTCCTTTAAGCCCTATGTCCTCAGATCCACAAGATTTGTCGCCTCTTAGTCCAGGCCATTTTCTGGTGGGACGTCCACTTACTGCGCCTGCTAGTGATGACTTCACTGAGACGCCTGTTCATCGACTGACACGTTATCAACGAGTTGAGCAGATTCGACAGCAATTTTGGTCCCGTTGGGCGAAGGAATACGTGTCAGAACTTCAAATAAGGACTAAAGGAAGGAAGAACACACTTGAACTGCAGCCTGATATGCTAGTAGTTATTAAGGACGACAACCTACCGCCGCTAAAATGGCATCTCGGTCGAATAGTGAAGATCTTCCCTGGCAAAGACGGCATCACTAGAGTAGCCGATATTCGCACATCGTCAGGTGTCGTGAGACGCGCTTACAGCAAGATATGTCCCTTACTTGATGACTAATTCTAGTTTTGAAGTTTTAAAATTGAAAGCTGAAGCTTTCAAGGCCGGGGGCATGTTCAAGATTAGACATTATAGTTGTTTTAATAAAAGTTAAATTTTTCGCACTTGCAATATTAGAACCATAGATATAGACCGTTTAACCGCTAGAAGGTCAAACATTCAAATTTTGTTAACGGATAGAACTACACGCACTTTTGTATTTATTTTAATTTATTATAAAACTTGAGGCACGGACAAGCATTTCATTTCAACCAAGAGCTTCTCACCTTCAAGCGCAAACAAAAACAAAAGTAATATAAAGCAAAACAACATTACTAAAATAGTCAATTAGGTGCAGCAGGGCGAGAACCAAAGAATGATTTTGCCACCTGCAATTTAATTGCATGCGGCTTTGTGTGGAACAGATCAATATCATGGTCAAACAATAATTTGTTAAATTTAACTGGAGCTCTGCAGAAATATGAATTTCGCCTAAAGTTGGTTCTGTAACGCGGTACATACAAACACGGTGTTTTCCTCCGATTTCTAGTAGGAACAAAAAGGTTTATATTTTGAACCAGTTCAGGACAATTAATATCACCTCTTGCGATACTGACTAGCAATATTACATCTGCTATATCCCTTCTAGTTGCAAGAGGTAAAAAGTGAAATCGCTTACACCTGGATTCGTAGTTGGGATCATCAGTTCATCATTAATGGGTGACATCATTAATGGGTGACAATGGAATGGCGACCTCGCTTCCGCTATCGGTATACGCTGGCGAGGTATTAGAGATGATAGGTGAGGATGAAAGCAGGTCAGTTTTTTTTATTGGGTGATAATGGAATGGTAACCCCACCCGCGCTATGGGTATACACCGGTGGGACACCAATAAAGGATGATAGGTCAGTTAGCCCATCGTGACGAATTCAGCAAGAATTGTTCACGATGGTTTCCACACATATAGAATAGACACATATAGAATGAGAAAGGTCTATTTAGGGGAAAAGGATTGTTAGTAATGGGTCTAACTACCCCATTGCTAGCAATATACCCTATCAGGTCGAACTCCACGCTTTTCTCCCTAGAAACTGTCATGGTTAATTATAGTGGAATTCGTCACGATGGGCTAACTGACATGCTTTCATTCTCACCTGTCGTCCCTCACTAGTGCCCAGCCAGCGTATACCCATAGCACAGGCGAGGTTAGCATTCTATTATCACCCATTAAAAATACCCATTAAAATAGTTTTCGAGAATGGTAACGCATGAGGGGTTGTAACCATCACAGTGAATCTTGTGATGTCAATGGTGCTGATCATGGCAACGGTTACCACTTTCCATTATATGGGCTTTCAGTTTGTTTGCCATTTTAAATATTATTAAAAAACATGAGTATAAACCTATATATTGAAATACATTTACCAAAATCGTCCATGATGCTATTCATGACGCCGGTTACCACTTTCCATCAGGTGGTCTCTCAGATTGTATGCCATTAGCTAAGTATAATATTCCTTTAATTATAACTTTATAATTCGATTGAAAGCGTTACTATCTAATAAGTGTAATTGGGGAGAAAGGGGTTGTTAGCAATGGAGTTTGACAGTCCCATTGCTAGCAATATATCAGGTCATATACCTCCACGTGGTTCCCCCAGGAAACCGTCGTGAACAATTCTTGTTGAATTCGTCACGATGGGCTAACTGGCCTGCTTCATCCTCACCTATCATCTTTCACTGGTGCCCCGCCGGTGTATACCGATAGCGCGGGTGGGGTTACCATTCCATTATCACTCATAAAAAAAATAAAAAGTAAGTGTAACTATTCCGTGGATGAGCATTTTAATGACAACAATAAATGAAAGATGTCAATTTTTGAGCAATAATACTAAAATTATTATATATATATATATATATATATATATATATATATATATATATAAGTGTGAAATAATAATTTTATTTGTATAACTGTATTAATTGTAGCAATTGATTATATAAATTTACGAAGTAGACTGAATATACAATAATTAAAAAAGAAAAACAATTCGAATTGTATTAACTGTAAATAAAATGTAATATTAAATAATAATTTTTGTAATTTTTTTTTTATACAACTTAAAATGGCAAACAAGCTGACGGCCCACCTGATGGAAAGTGGTAACCGTCGCCTATAGACATGAGCAGTACCATGGACATAACAGAGTATACTGTTTCACCCATGATACCCCGCATGCGTTGCCATTCCTGAGGACTCAGGTGTTATTCCTCTGTACCCTGTAAATTCACGCCATATTCCACCCTTCAAACCGAAACACAGCTATGCAAACACTGCTTTACGGTTGAAACACGGATGGGACAGAGGTATCCAAGCAAATGACTTTTGTACAAAGTCTCCCTCTGGTGATGTAGAATCTGTTCTGTACTATTTTGTGTTTTGTTCTTTGTATTTTGTGCTTTGGATAAATAAATTAAAAAAAAAAGAAATTAAAAAAACCACAAGATCAATCACCTGTCAATTTTCATAATTTTTAACAAAAAAAAAATTGGACGAATCGGGTATCTCTTCCGTTAGCAAAACACTTCAACAGTGTGATCTTGAAACTAGAATAACCAAATTACATCACGGCGTCATCACAGATGTTTTCTATCTGAAAAGAGAGAGAAAAAAAAAAGGAAATTTGAATAGATAATAACAGTAAATTTTCATTCTTTCCCCTGTTCTATGAAAATAATTTGTCTGCTGGCGGTGCAAATTAAATTTCCTACACATTGATTTCACTGGGCGGAGTAATTACTTAATTTACCGATTAGTTTACAGAGTCGTGAGCGAGCCAATGGGGGGAAGATTTATGGACTAATTTTATAGGGGAACTCGCGTTATTTAATTACCGCTGTCTGCTAGGTGGATCGGAATGGATATATTTTTATTATTCTCTTATTGTTTAGTTTGTTTAAGTGAATACGCTGATACCATTAAGAGACTACCGACTAAACCGTCTTTCAAAAAAAGCGTTCACGTAATTTTTTATCTTTATCCGAGCAGTAAGTGCTTTATATATATATATAATTTTCAATTTCGTGTATAATATAGTATATATCATATATAAGTATATTTGTTATTTATATATATTTATTCGTTTATATATGTAATTTTAGTATGTATGTATATCAATAATTACTAGTACCGCATTCGAGTATTCTGACACTTCCCTATGGTTGACTGGGAGAGAATGCTTTTAGCATTAAGTCCGCCATGTACACATATTTGTACTAATGAATAAATAAATAAATAAATACGCCTAATTATTTTTTTCTTTAATTTTCATGAATATAACAAATTTACATATGGCGGACATAACTTTGTTGGTTCATTGGAAGTTTCAGAGGGAGGGAGACTTTGTACAAAAGTATACCATACTAAGTTGCATTAAAAAAAAAAGAGATGGCTTTATGCAACTTAGTACAGCAAACAAGCTGACGGTCCACCTGATAGAAAGCGGTAAAATTTGCTTATAAACACGAACAGTATCATGGTTACCAAACAATAATAGCTAAATACCTATTTAATTACATGCTAGGCTTTTTAAATACCTATATCAAAAAACTCTATATTGCCTTAAACAATACAAAAGTAGGGTCCAGAGGACTCTTAAGACTTGAGTACCGGTCATTTGGCCAACACAAGCCAGTGTATAGACGTGAGTGGTTCTTTTGAGGCAGGTACATTGGAAAAAATAAAACTGGCCCATACACAAGTGAAGTAGTCCTTTATAATGTGGACGAGTCATTAGAAACCTTTTTTAATTACTCTGTCGACAATTTGATTAATCTTTATTAGATACTAGCAACTCGGCCCGGCTTCACACGGGTAGATAGAATTTTCTAAAATAATATATATATTTTTTGACTATTTTGTTTTTTTTACTGTTTCACCCATGATACTTTCCAAGCGTTGCCATTCCTGATGACTCAGTTGTTATTCCCCTGTACCCTGTAAATTCACTGCTATATCACACCCTTCAAACTAACACCTAGCTATGAAACCACAACTGCTTCACCGTAGAAACACAAATAGGACTGAGGTACCCAAGGATATGGCGTGAATTTACTGGATACAGAGGAATAACATCTAAGTTCTCAGGAATGGCAACGCATGGGGGTATCATGGGCGAACAGTATATCCTGTTATGTCTATTGTACTGCTCATGTTTATAGGCGACGGTTACCATTTCCCATCAGGTGGGCCGTCAGCTTGTTTGCCATTCTAAGTTGTATATAAAAATATCCCTGTAAATTCATGCATCAACAACTGCTTCACGGCAGAGACACGAATGGGACAGAGGTATCCAAACAAACGACTTTTATACAAAATCTCCTTCTGGTAAAACTAATTTACTCAGATATGGACTGAAACACTTGGTAATCATCACTTTCGGCAACTTACTGAGGTTTTTTTTCAAAGGATGATGAGTGATAACCCCGCCTGCGCTAACGGTATACGCCGGCGGAGCACCAGTGAGGGATGATAGGTAAGCAATGAAAAAAGGCAGGTCAGTCAGCCCATCGTGATGAATACACCTAGAACTCAGCACGATGGTTTCCAGGGGGAACCGCGTGGAGGTCGACCTGACAGGGTATATTGCTAGCAATGGGACTGGTAGCCCGCATTACTAACGATCCCTTCCCCCCACTTACTGAGGTTACCGGAATTATGTAAAACATGTAATTTCTGGCAAACTATATATAGATTTTTTTTTAATGGGTAATAATGGTATGGTAACCCCGCCTGCGCTATCGGTATACACTGGCGGGGCACCAGTGATAGATGACTGATGAGGATGAAAGCAGGTCAGTTGGCCCATCCTGACGAATTCAATTAGAATTAGCCATGATGGTTTCCGGGAGGAACCGAGCGGAGGTCGACCTGACAGGGTATATTGCTAGTAATAGGGCTATTTGACCCCATTACTAACAATCCCTTTCCCCCTACTATATATAGATTTGCCATCGTATTTCACAATGAGACATCCATCACTGAACACAGTGTATATTAGCCAGTATATTAAACGTGAGAAATTCTTGCTTTAGATTTTACGTGTTAATAAACTAACGTGACGGGAAACACAATAATCGTGTGTAGGTGCGATTTCATTAGTTGGAGACACGTTTCCACGTTACTGAAGTTCATTATTCCACAGCAGTCGATTGGGGATTCTACTTAGCGACAGATAATGGTGTTACGAGCAACTGTTACGTGCTACGTTT